CGAGGGGGCCACGCCTGCCGAGACCTCGCACCGCGGCTCCAGCGTGCGGGCGCGCAGGAGGAGCAGGGAAGGGAGCCGGGGCTGTGGCTATGGAGAGGGGGAAAGTGAAAAGAGAGAAGGGAAAGGAGCCGGAGAAAGAGAAAACTCGGGGAAAAGGAAAGGAGGAGAAAGATAAAAAGAAGGAAGTGGAGAAGGAGAAAATTAAGGAAAAAGAAAAGGGGAAGGAGAAGAAAACTAAGAGTAAAGAGGAGGAAAACAGGAAAGAGCAAGAGACGGACAAAGAGAAGGAACAGTTTAAGGAAAAAGAAGAGAAAGAGAAGGACAACGACAGCACATTGACAAAGCCCCCGCTGGAGCCGCCGGTAAGAGACCGGCGCCTCGGACCCTCACCGGAGGCCATTGTCCGGCGTTCAGGCCGGAGCGCCGGCTCTGTTACGTGCGAGGCCCCGGCCCGCGCCAGAGGGAATCTGGTCTCGTCCGCGGGCTTTTTATCTGCGGGTGGAAGGGGCTCCATCCAGTCTTCTAACGACCCGTCGCTAGTCCCTTTCCCGCGGCCTCCTGCCCGGCTTCACCCCTAACCCCGTCCCCGCCTCCAACCCTCGTCATGTCTAGTGTTGAAGAAGAGGCCTTAGCTGGTCTTCACGGGGGCGCGGGGATCACCCTTTTTCCAGCCCCATCTCTGTCCAGCGCTCAACCCTAGCTCCCTGACCGCCCACAACACTGAACTCAGCTCCAAACCCTCGCCGCCCACAGGATCTCTGTCCCGGTCTTTTCTGTTTAATGCGTTCTTTGTGGGAGGGTGCAGGGTACCTGAATTTGTGCAGGATGTGTTTGGGGACTGTCTGGGTCTTTTCTGTGGGCGCTGTGGTTACTGCTTCCATTCTTTTCAGACCACCAGCGCTCAAAGGGGGCCGTCATAGAGGTTTGAGAAGCCTCAGAAACCAGGCATTGTAGTCACAAAAAGACAAATCTGTATGATTCCACGTATATAATGTACACAGAATAGTCAAAATCACAGTCAGAGAATGGAATGGTGGTTGCCAAGGCCTGGGGGAAAGGACAGTGGGGAGTTAGTGTTTAATGAGTACAGTTTCAGTTTCACAAGATGAAAAGGGTTATATTATGAAGATGGATGGTGGTGATGGTTGCACATTATGAATGTATTTAATATCACTGAACTGTATGTTTGAAAATGGTTAAGATGGTAAATTTTATGTATTTTACCACAGTTTAAAAATTGAGGGAGAAAAAAAGAAAAAACAGGCATTATTTGGATTAGCTTAGTGATCTCTGTGCTCTTGGAGTTCCTGGGCTCAGAGCTGCTTTCTGGTTCTAAACAATGTGAATTTATTAACAAGGATTTGATCTCTGGTAAAACAGACAAATAGATTCATATATAGTTAAAGGAATAACTTTTTACAAGGAACAGTTGTGTTCAGAATCACATTTTGTGTCAGAACTTTTGGTTTACAGTAATCCCAGCTTTTCTTGAGAGATTATAAACACAAGGAAGCTTGTGTTTTAGACTAAAAAAGGAAGAAAAATGTAAGGCAGCAGTGACTACAGAATTTCTAGATAAGATGTGCTTACAGGTAGCGATGTGGCTGGAAAGGAAATAAGGAACTGTTCTTATTCATGATGGTTCTTAGGCTCTAAAATGCCATTATTTTAGGTACCAAAAAGAAAGAAAAAAATGCTGCCAATCAAAATATGATATACCATAGATTGTAAAGTCCTCATTTCAGAAATGTTAAATGTCAAAAAAAATCTTGGAATTGATGAAATATGTTGGGGTAGCCTGTATGGGGCTATTGGTGGTGTTAATGGTGGACAGAATCCACATCTTATAGCCATTTCTTGGTGCCACCATTGCTTTAAAGCATGCCACTTAAAACCATCCAGTGAAATCTTCTTTGTGCATCAAGTTCTCTTCTTTACCATCACAGTCTCAGAATGACACTCCGATATTTAGATGCAGATGGGAGGGAATGGGGAGTAAATGGAGATGGAGATAGGGAACATCGATGGAAATACCAATTCCTATAAAAGCCATCAAGAATTCATTCCCAAAACAAAAATGTACTTTTAAATGTTACTCACTAGACAGGCTTTGTAAATCTTGCTCTGTACACAAGTCTCTATTAGACCAGCCTTAAAACGTCTCACTTGCATGTAGATCTTACTAGGAGGGGGAAGAAAAAGAGATGGGAGGTGGGATAGACATTCTAATGCTGTTTAGGATCACTTTTTTACCAGGAATCCAATCTAAGTCTATGTCAACGTTTAATGTTCAAGCAGAGATGTATAAGATTATTATTTTTAAACAGTGCCATTGAAGACATTTACTAGTGTTTTTTGTGCATGAGAAACCCCTTTAGTAGGCTGTTTGGGAAATAGGGTTGAATTCCTGTGAGCAGTCTGGCTGGACTGTTGCTCATTTATTACTCTTTACATTAAAATTTGTACCCTAAAAGCCACCTTGCTGAGTACTCTAAATTTTCTATTTCTGCCTCCATCCCAGCTTGCCCTTCTTGCCCTTCAGTCACTTGTCATAAACATTTCTAAGGCTTGTATGTTGGTGGAATGCTTCTTCCTAAAGTTTACATCTATTTCATCAGGTTTTAGCATCAGATTTAAAATTAGATGATTAGAGCTGGTTTGATTATCTATGATCTTTGCCTTTTCATATAATTATGATATTTATACTTAAAATATATAAAAGGGGAACCTTGCCCTGAGTGCTTTTAATCTAGTGATCCAATTGGGAAGACAAGACAAATTAAGAATATGAGACCTTAGATGCTTACAAACTAAATGGCAGAATCAATACATGGATCATCAATACAAGACCCCAAACAATAAAGTTGAATTCTGGTGCAATCTCCAGTGAGCTCAGGAAGTAAACAGAAGTCTGAAAATTAGCCCTGAAAATATGGCACCTCCCATAAGTAATTAGATAGATAGATAGATAGATATAGATAGATATTAAGTATTTATTTGATAGATTGACTAGAATTTGGGAGATGAAGAAGGGATGTGTGATTAATATCACATAACCAGTGACTGATTGTACAATACAAACTGACTGGGACAGTTGTTCTAGACCTATTAAATTTTTTGTGAAGTTTTGTTCTGTTTTACAATTCCAAAATATTATTGGCAAGCACATTACCAGGAGCCAGGAAAACAAGGCCCTAGCTTTTTTATTTATATGATGGCATAGCTTTATTGACTTATTTTTTGTTTTGCAGGAGAAAAATAAGCAGATCCTAGTGTTGGGCCTGGATGGAGCAGGAAAGACCAGTGTTCTTCACTCTCTAGCTTTAAACAGAGTCCAGCACAGCATGGCACCCACCCAAGGTTTCAATGCGGTGTGCATCAGTACTGAAGACAGCCAAATGGAGTTCCTGGAGAGTAAGGCCACTTTCTCAGTGGTTCTGGGAATAGCCTACAGCTTGTAGCCACATTACTGTTACAACTTAAGCCAGATGTAATGTTATCAACATTGGGTTCTTGTGAAAAGAAGCACTGGGTCAGATTTTCCTAGACTTCTAGAATGCTAGGGTGCAGTGGGGGCGGAAATCACTTTCTGCTCTTTTTATTTTCCCCTTTTTGCAGTGGTGGTGATAAAGAGGAGTTGAGAGGAAGGCTTTGGCACCCCCTCTTATAACAGCCTCTCTCCTCCCTTACTTCATCAAATAAACATGCAATCTAAATACAGTGTGCTTCCTTCTCTGCCAGTGCAAATATAGACAAGCCCCCAGCCTCTTGTAACCAGGTGGCAACTCAGAAGCCCCTAGTCTATAGTAATTCTGGAGTCACCATCTCTCAAAATATTGCTGTTCCCTGAAGTAGCATCAGATCCTCTTGTCTTCTGTTTACACTCTCTCCTAGGATGATTTCATCCATCCTCTTGATATTAAATACTATCTATATGCTAATAACTCCCCAATTTATCTGTCCAGCCCAAACATATCCAGATGTCCCCTGACATCTCTACCTGGTTTTTCATTGGCCTCTCAAATCTAACATGGTCAGAACAAAATATTTACTATATCTCCATATCTATTCCTTTCCCTGTAATCCACTGTCAGTAAGTGACTCCTCACCCAGCAAGTTACTCAAGCCAGAAAACTGGGAATTTTCTGTACCCTCTATTGTACCCCTACCTCCCACCCACAAGTAAAACGATATGAAATTTTGTTTTCATCCAGTTGCAAAGAGAAAATGGTTAGCAGAGAAAATGGTAAAACTGTAGGCAAATCTTTAAGATAAAAGCATTATTAGGAATAGAGGTGTCAGTTTGCCCAGAAGCTACAGAAGTAATAATAATTTTAACAAAGTAGATAGCTAAGAAAATAGTCTCAAAATATAAAAAGTGGAAGGGAAGGGAGGAAAAGGGAAGGGAACGGAAGGAAATGAAAAAATGAAGTAAGGAAAAAGAAAAGAAAGGAAGAATCCAATTACACGGAGAAATGGACAGATCTACAGCTGAAATGAGGGATTTCAACATCTCTCCGTCATTTGTTTATAGGATCAAGGAGAAAAAAATCTATAGAGACACAAATATTGAACACAATCAAATATATAATTAAACAATTTTAGCCACATCCAAAATTTAAAATTCACATTTTTCTCAAACATTCACAGAACAGTTGCCAAAACCGACCACTTACTGGGCCATTCAGCAAGTCTTAATAAATTTTTCAAAGAAGAGGCATCATACAAACCATGCTGTCTGGCTACGTTGCAGTTAAATTAGAAGTTAATAACTAAATGATTACAATCCCTCTGCTGGTGAAATGTAATGGTGTTGCCAAAAAATGGGGAACAACCTAAATGTTCATTCATGTTTAAACTACATGTATTAAAACCATATGAATTACTTAGGTTATATAACATTCTTTAAAAAAAAGTAAAAATACTTCAAAGAATGACTAGCCAGGCTCTACACAAAGAAAACAAGGAAAGGCAAATAAAGACCCTATATTATTGTTTTTTAAAATGTTTCTGTCAAGTTCCCAAAACAAGAGTCTATAAACTTGTTTGTTAAGGGCTCAAGAGTAGCTAATGTAGGCTTTGTGGGCCACATGGTCTCTGTGCAGCTACTCAGCCCTGCTGTTGTCCTGTGAAAGCAGCCAAAGGCCGTATGTGGACAATCACACGTCTGTGTTCTTTTTTTTTCTTTAAATTTTTTCCTGGGGTGGGGGGTGGGTGGGTAGTTAGATTTATTTGTTTATTTTAATGGAGGTACTGGGGATCAAACCCAGGATCTTGTGCATGCTAAGCATGCACTCTACCACTGAGCTGTACCTTACCCCCTCCACTGCATGTCTGTGTTCTGATCCTTTGTATTGAAATCCAAATGTGCCATGAAATATTATTCTTTTTTTCCCGCCCCAAACATTTAAAAGTGTAAAAATCTTTCTTTGTGGGCTGTACAAAAAATAGGCAGTGAACCAGATTTAGACTGTGGGTCATCGTTTGTCAACCTCCATCCGAGGAGAAAAGTAACTGAATTCATTGTGTATGTATTATTATCATTCCCCAAAAGTTTCTTCTGGGAAGAATCAGCAGAATGAAAGAACCCAAAGGCATTTTTTCCTGAGGCAAGTATTCTTGAATGTCCACTGGATCATATTAACTCTTAGTGCAAGATTAAGAGGGGAAATTAGTTCTAGGATTTTGACAAAGGAAGAAAGTTATGCAAGTGAGGCTAGCCAATGAAACTTTAATCAGTCCATTTAAAACTTATTTTAGTGAAACATGTGTTTTAACCTACCACTCTAAGTTACTTTAGTAGCCTACTCCGACTTGCTGGCTGTACTGCTGTGTATAGCAGGTCAGGAGGCATCCGCTGTAGTACATATTTAAGATCTTTATGCTGATTCTTTGTGCTACAGAATGAATGACCCACTTGTGGAGGGTAAATATTCCCACCAATCATTCCCCCAGTAACATCTCTCTGGTTGTTCTCAGAACTGGGTACAGTCTCACAGAGGTCTTTTATCAGAACACTTGTCCAGTGTTCAGAAATTACCTAATTGTGCCTTTCCTGCCCCCTCAGTGGACACTTCTGAGATTTCTGCGTATGTCTTCCTTCTCTACTGTTCTTTGTAGTTGGCGGCAGCGAACCTTTCCGTTCCTATTGGGAAATGTACCTGTCCAAGGGGTTGCTGCTGATCTTTGTGGTGGATTCAGCAGATCACAACAGACTACCTGAAGCCAAGAAACACCTTCATCAACTAATTGAAACAAACCCAATCCTTCCTCTGGTTGTGTTTGCAAACAAACAGGTAAAAAAGTTGTGCAAATATAAATTGTACTCAACAGTTATATTGTTAATACAAGAATTAGAAATGTCTGTACTTGTAATAGCTAAATATTCAATAATACACTATCTGTTCAGTTCAATTTATACTAATTAGATCTGCTGGATTATACAGTCAGCCCTTCGTGTCTGTGGATTCAACCAACCATGGATCAGGGGGAAAAAATTCCAGAAAGTTCCAAAAAGCAAAACTTGTATTTGCCACACATAGGGAAATATTTATATAGCATTTATATTGTATTTACAACTATTTACATATCATTTACATTGTACTAGGTATTATAAATAATCTGGATTTAACTGTATAGGAGGATGTGCATAGGTTATATAGAAATACTGTGCCATTTTATGTAAGGAACTTGAGCATCCTCAGATTTTGGTATCTTCAGGGGTCTTGCAACCAATTCCCCTCAGATACCGAGGGACAGCTGTAAACTCCTTGAGAACAGAGACTGTCAATAACCATTGTGTCCCATATAATAACTAGTATATGGCCTTGTCCATAATAAGAATTCAACAAATCTGTGTTGAATTTAATTCAATAAACATTTACGGATTGTTGAACTAATTTCAAAAAATTTTTTGAATGCCTACCATGTATAAAAAAGTAGTTTTAGATCAATTAGCCTGATCTGAATTTATTTCACACACATGCATTAAAATTACTAAACATTCATGTAGAAATTGAAACCCTTGTGTGGTGTTGGTGAGAATACCAGATGGTACAGCCACTATGAAAAACAGGATGGCAATTGCTTAAAAAAAATCAAAAATAAAATTTTCGTATGGTCCAGCAATTCCACTTTTGGCTGTATAACCAGTAGAATTCAAAGTAGGCACTTAAACAGTTATTTGTATACCCATGTTCATAGCAGAAGTATTCACAGTAGCCAAAAAGTAGAAACAACCCAAGTGTCTATCCACAGATGAACAGAAACAAAATGTGGTCTATACATACAATGGGATATTATTCAGCCTTAAAAAAGAAGGAAATTCTGACACATGCTACAACATGGATGAACCTTGTGGACATTATGCTAAGTGAAATAAGCCAGTCACAAAAGGACAAATACTGTATGATTATACTTTCATGAGATACCTAGAGTAGTCAAATTTATAGAGACAAAAAGTAGAACTGTGGTTGCCAGGGGCAGGGGGAAAGGAGAAATGGAGAGTTATTGTTTAATGCGTACAGAGTTTCAGTTTTACAAGTTGTTTGGAAATGGATGGTTGTACAACATTGTGAATGTACTTAACTGTGCACTGAACTGTACACTTATAAATGGTTCATATGACAAATTTAGTTATGTGTATTTGACCACAGTAAAAGTTTAAAAACCCCCATTCAACATCTATAGCATTGTACAGGCACACTTTATCAATACTTGGTATTGTCAAACTTTTTCATTTTTGCCAGTCTCATGGGGATGAAATTTTACCTCATTCTAATTTGCATTTCCTTAATTACTCGTGAGCTTGAACATTTTTTGAGATGTTCACTGGTTATTAGTTTCAAATGAGTTTTATTCTTTGAAATCAATTTCCATATCTGTAAATTGTTTTTTTTTAATATTTTTCCCCAAATTCCTGTTAGGGTGCTTATCTTTCCTCATTTGAGTTGTAGGTAGTCTCATCTTTTGGAAAAACAATCCTTTGTCAGTTACATACATTACAAATATCTTCCCCAGCAACCTATTGGTTTATCATTGTACTTTGTTTATGGTTCCCTTTTTTATACATAGGTTTTCATTTTTAATAATCAGATTTGTCAATACTTTCCTTTGTGGTTTATATCTCTTCATCAAATGAAATAAACAGAGCCATTCAGTGTCAAGTTTATAACTTTTACTGGGTTTAATAATGAAAGGTTTGGATACTCTAGTTCAAGGGTAATCTATATTTACTGATACTCCTTGGCCAAAGTAATCTATGCTTTTAGATGACTCACTGGTTTAAGTTATAAGTATTTTTTAAAAGTCATCTTACTATCTTTACTCTTTAAGTCATGACCTCTATTAAGGCACAGTTATGTAAGAGTGGGCTATACCGGATATTTATCCCTGATGTGCTTTTATCATTACAGAGAGCCCCTCCTCCCATCCAACACCCTTTCTCTCCTATTGTCTTCTCGAATTCCCGCAGTGAATTTTTTAGGCTCGAGACATTGTCCACATGTTACTGGATTCATGAGCACAGTTGTGAAATTCACTGCAGGCTCTAGGACTAAATGAATTCAGTTTTCATACAGGCAATATGTTAGGATGACCAGAAAGGTATAACACATCAGGAAAAGCCTCACAGGCTCCCAGTGATGGAATCTGATAGGTTCATAGTGGTACAAGAAAAAAATAACTCAATATTGGAACACTTCCAGAGATTTTTAAATGATCCCCTAAAACTTAGGGAAAACACTATAAAACAACAAAAGGCCAATTACAAATGCAATTTTAAGAGCAAAAATGCTTAAGCTTTTGCAAAAGTCTTAAAAATTATAACTGAATCTGTGTGTATATTTAGGAAATGGAATATCAGAGGTTATTTGCATAAATAATTCTTGTTGTGTAAGAGGCAAAGAAATATGTTTTGACCTTAGCATTTTGACCTCAAGGAGGTTTTGACCTTGGCATGCAGCATAAGCACACGTTTTCTTTCTCCTCATTTTAATCTCTCCTCTCTCTGCCTCTCTCTGTGGATTTTCCTCCTTTAAGCCTTTCCCACTTCTCCCTCTTGTCCTTGTTCTCTCCACCTGTTCCTCCTCTCTTGGTCTCTGTCACCCACTAGTCCACTTTCTAAATTCACTGCCTCCCTGATCCTGTCTCCGTCTTCCTCTACCCCTCCAAATTTGATCCATAATTTTTTGTTCAGTGGAAATAATGGTCACAAAAGAAAACTCACATTTGGCAAAAAATATGGACACAAACCAATTAATGAATCAAATTTCTATTGTTAAGACAAATTAAAAGTAATTGATCCTTTTGAGAATAATCTTGGGAAAATAAAGACAAAATGGAAAAACAAAATTAGAAGCAGATTGACTGCTCTGTTTAGGAAATTGATTAAGGTATTGTATCAGCTTAACTTTATTTCAGAAAATACTTTTTTGATGGTAACTCATAAATGCTGGTATAATTCTGATGAAAATCCTTATATTCAAACAACCACTAGGATCATAATAATGGGGTTACAATATCCTCCATATTACAATGGGGGTGGGGTCATTGAGAGCAATAAAGGAGAGTAGTAAATGTATTTATCCAAAAAGATTGCAAAATGACCAACTTTTTCTCAATTCTTTTCCCACTCTTGGTGAAGGATCTTGAAGCAGCCTATCACATTACAGATATTCATGAAGCTTTGGCATTATCTGAGGTGGGAAATGACAGGAAGATGTTCTTGTTTGGAACCCAGGTGACTGAGAATGGCTCAGAGATACCCTCTGTCATGCAAGATGCCAAAGACCTGATTGCACAGCTGGCTGCAGACATGCACTGATCAGGCCCAGGCCCACTGCGAGGCTCATGATTTGAATGTCACCAAGGAGTGGCCATCTGGAAGCCAAATGTTTCCACTTTCAAATAAAAAATAAGCCATTTCCTATTTTCTCAATGTGCGGCATATATACATATATAAAATAATGTTAATTGATTAAGAGCATCTCTTTATTTAGATTTTGAACTTTAAAAATATTGGTAAAATAATGTATTTGGGGGGATTGGATTTTTAATCAATAAAATTAAAGTGAACATTAGCAAGCATTCATCCCATTTGTAGTTTTTTCAATGACATGGGATTTATATTAAAATATTTTAATAAACTCCTCTTCTCAAGTAAAAATCCTATCTTTCCTTTAAGTGGGTCCATTTAACATTGTAGGGAAAGAAATATTAGGATAGGGCAATGAGAAGTAAATACTTTCACACCCGTATAGACGTATACATGAATGGCATTCAGAAAAATTTAGGAAAGGCTTCTTTTTAAAGAAACTGTTACACTAAATGAGGAACACTGGGGATTTATTTTTTTAAATTCTTGACATTTTGTGTTTTTTTATATGGATAAGCTTTCTTTACTAGAAATACTTTGTAAGGGTGATAACTCTATTTACCTACAGCCATGCTATAAATCCAACTTTTAATCTTAGTGTCTTGTCTTGATTTTTTTTGTTTTTAAAGACTTCTGGTCCAGCATGTAAGTAGCTTGGAAGCCACCATTTCATCCTAACAAGTAAAAAGCTGAATAGACTGAACAATCAACATTGGAGAGACCAACAGGAGAATACAGAGAATAACAATTTACCAGAGCAGAGACCCATAACAGGAAACTGCCCGTGGGAAGCAATGCCAGAGTATAAACACCAGGACTGTAAGTGATGAATTGTTGGATGATCAAAGTTGATTACTCTGAAGGTTAAAAACTCCAGGGGATTGGGAGGGTATAGCTCAGTGCACAAGATCTTGGGTTCAGTCCTCAGTACCTCCATTAAAAAAAGAGAAAAAATTCAAGGTAACCTGGTCATAAGTGGGTCCCAAATTTTGTGAGATTTACCTCTAGGATCTCAACCAGATACCTGCAATAAATATTAGAGGAAAATCCCCTGGTGCTTCCAAGGGAGAAGGAAAAAAAATTTTTTTAAATACATCAGATCACTCTGTCCTTAACAAGGTCTGCCCTCAGAGAAAACTAGTTAACCAGAACCTAGCCTGCTGGGATATTACCAGAGCCTAACTGACCTGGCGGAAGGGAAATAGCCAACTCCAGCCCACTCTAGCCATCCTGTCCCACCTAAAGGTGGAGAAAACTAAGACAGAAGTGTGAAATTTGCAGTCCAGAGGCACAGAGTCACTAAAAGACTGAGACATAATCTTAGGACTATAGAGCACTCCCCTCCTGCCACACCTCACCACCGCATTACTAAAGGTTTGTTATACAGCAGTTCTTTTTCACTGTACATCATGCCTGGCTATCAAGAAAAATTACAAGACATACTAAAAGGCAAAAAACACAAACGAGATAGAGCAAGCACTGTACAGAAATGAAGAATGTGTTTGATGGGCTTATTAATACAGCTGAGGAAAAAAATATCTGAGCTTGAGGTTATCTCAATAGAAACCTCCAAAACTGAAAATCAAAGAGAACAAAGGTTCTGGAAAAAACAGAACAGAATATCCAAGGACTGTGGGACAACTACAAAAGTTGCAATATGTGTGTAATGGGAAACCAGAAAGAGAGGAAAGAAAGGAACAGAATAAATATTTGAAACAATAATGACTGAGCATTTCTCCAAATTAATGTCAGACACCAAACCACAGACCCCAGAAGCTCAGAAAACACCAAACAGGATAAATGCCCAAAAACTGCCCATAGGCATATCATTTTTAAGCTACAGAAAATCTAAAATGAAGGAAAAATCTAGAAAGAAGCCAGAGGAAAAAACCTTACCTGTAGAGGATCAAAAAGAATTACATTAGACTTCTCAGAAACTATGCAAGCAAGAAGAGAGTGGAGCAAATTATTTATAGTGTTGAGAGGAAAACCCATCAACTTAGACTTCTGTATCCTGTAAAATCCTTCAAAAGTGAAGGAGAAAGACTTTCTTAGACAAACAAAAATTGAGGGAATTTGTTGCCAGTACTTCTGCTTTGCAAGAAATGTTAAAAAGAAGTTCCTCTAAAGAACTAATGATGTAGGTCAGAAATTTGGATCTACATAAAGAAAGGAAGAAGTGAAGGTAAAATTAAAGCTTTTGTTTTTCTTATTCTTAATTGAGCTAACAGATTACAGTCTATTCAAAATAATAATAGAAACTATATTTGACTATGTATGCTTATGTATGTTATGCATGCATATATGTATATCAATGATATGATAGCAATAATACAAGGTGTGAGAGGGAGGAATTAGGATTATTCTGTTATTATAAGGCAGTGTCACTATCCATGAAATGGTATAGTGTTGTTTGAAGGTAGACTTGGATTTGTTGTTAATATATATTGCAAACTCTAGGACAGTCACTAAGAAAATAAAAGAAATTATAACTGATAAGCAAAGAAAGGAAAGAAAATGAAATCAAGTAAAATGCTCAATTAAAACCACAAAAGGTAGACAAAGAGTAGAAGATAAACAAAGAACAAAGACAACAAATAGAAAACAGTAACAAATATGATAGCTATTAATCCAACTAAATCAATAATAACTTTGAAGGTCAGTGGTCTAAAGGCACCAATTAAGAGAGATTTGTCAGAGTGGATCAAAGATCCAACTATATGTTGCCTACGAGAAACTCACTTTAAATATAAAAAGACATTAGATTAAAGCCAAATGAATGGAGACACTAATGCTAACACTAATCAAAAGAAAGCAGAAATAGCTATATTAATTTCAGACAGAGAAGACTTCAGAGTAAGGGAAGTTATCAAGGATAAGGAGAGGAATTATACCTAATGCACAAGCTATAAAATAAAAAATAAACAAGTGGGACTACATCAACCTAAAAAGCTATACAGCAAAAGAAACCATCAACGAAATGAAAAAAGAACCAACGGAATGGGAAAAATATTTGCAGACCATATATCTGATAAGGGGTTAATATTCAAAATATATAATGAACTCATACAACCCAATAGCAAAAACAAACAATTAAAAAATGGGCAATGGACCTGAATAGACATTTCTTCCAAAGAAGATATGTGTATGGCCAACAAGTGCATGCATGAAAAGATACTCAACATCACTTATCTTTAGGGAAATTCAAATTAAAACAACGATGATGTATCCCCTCATGCCTATTAGAAAGGCCATCATCAAAAAGACAAGAGATAACTAATGCGAGCCTGGATGTAGAGAAAAGGGAAACTTTGTGTACTGTTGGTGGGATTGTGAATTGGTACAGGCAGTATGGAAAACAGTATAGAGATTACTCGAAAAATTAAAACTAGAACTACCATATGATCCAGCAATTCCATTTCTGAGAATATATCCAAAGGAGATGAAAACACTGACTCAAAAAGCTGTCTGCACCGCCATGTTCCTAATAATTTATGATAGCCAAGACATGGAAACAACTGACATGTCCATTGATGGATAAATGGATAAAGAATTTGTAGTATACACATAACATACAATAGAACATGATTCAGCCATTAAAAAAAAATAAGGAAAGCCTATCATTTGCAACAACATGGGTGGACCTTGAAGACATTATGCTAAGTAAAATAAGTCAGACAAAAAATACTGTATGATCTTAGTGAAATATGGAATTTGAAAGAACACCAAACTCAAGAAAAATAAATCAGATTTGTGGTTACATGTGGGGGTGTGATTAGAGGAAGGTGGTCAAAACATACAAACTTACAGTTATAAGATAAATAAGTACTAGGGATGGACCGTACAACATAATAACTAGTTACCACGGCTGTATGATATATAGGAAAGAAGAGAGTAGATCCTAAGGGTTCTCACCACAAGGAGAAATTTTTTTTCTATTCTTTTTATTATATCACTATGAGATGATGGATGTTAACTAAGCCTTTTGTGGTAAGTCATTTTACAATATATGTAAGTCAAGCCAAGATGTTGTACACCTTAAACATACAGTGATGTGTATCGATTATTTCTCAATAAAACTGAAAAAATAAAATATTATAATTTTTTAAAAGACAGGAATAACAATGATAAAGAGGTCAACTCTCCAGGAAGATACCATGATCCTAAACGTGAATGTGCTTAAAAATAGTGTTAAAATAAGCGAGGCAAAAACATCTCAGATCAAGAGCCCGCCCCCTTTCTCGGCGGACTGACTATGGCTCTTCTCAGAGCACGGGGCCACCGCGGGCCCCTGCAGCGCCTCGCGTCCCCTTGGCAACGGGAGAACGTGTAGGGGGTGTCCAGA